TATGAACTCAGTCGCAGCGTCTATTTTACAGGCCTATCAAAACCTTGGAAATGCACTGTCAAGTATATATCCCTCTGGACTTGTTTCCTTTTCAGAATTTACTAATCGCGTATTTCCCACACCTGCAACTATTTTTCCTTCAGATGGTAACGGGCGGATATTTTTTCTAATAGTGGTAAGAACATCATCTTCATACCTTCAGACTAGCTAAGGACTTCTGTGTTTTGGTCGTAAAACCTTGTGCTTAAATGAAGGCTATGAGATCAGATTAAAGCAGGGCCATCGCAGTAATTTTTTTCTTAGGCGCCCAACTCTTCTGCTACTAAATAAAGGACCTGAAATTCGATCCTTGATACTTCTCATGTTCTGACTATCCCCAATCTGAGATGCAGGGAGTGGATGGGGAGAGACCTCCCAGTGCCTGCACCCCATCCCTGCCGCCCCTATTATTATTATAATGCAAGAATAAACTTATTTATTGATAACATATGACAGAGGAAGGAGGTGGGGATGGGGTTGATTCGACTCTATTTGTTTTATTTCGGAATAAATGGATTTAGCCATACTGCCTTGTGTGTTTGTTTTTAAAATATGTTCTTACTGATTTCAGAGAGAGGAAGGGAGAGGGAGAGAAAGAAACATCAATGAGAGAAACATCAATGAGAGAAACACTGATTGACTGCCTCCTGCATGCCCCACACTGAGCATGGAGCCCACAACCTGGGCCTGACCAGGAATCGAACCATGACCTGGTTCATAAGTCAACGCTCAGTCACTGAGCCACGCCAGCCAGGTGCCTTGTGTGTTTCTGTTTCCGGCCACTGGGTCTTGGGTTCTGTGCCTGGGTACCGAACAGGAAGTGGGCCTGCTAGCAGAGGGCAGGCTTCTGCATTGTGTGGAGCCCCAGGGTGCCTGAGCGTGTCCAGTGGGGATGTTAGAGATCTGGACCTGTCACATGCTGCTTGGTGAAGCCTGGGGGACCCCCGGGGTGACCACAGGGCTCTAAGGGGCCTGAATGGCTGACAGACTCAGAAGACTGATCTAACCCCGAGGAGGGAAAGCAGCAACCCAGCACCTGAGAGAGCCGGCTTCCAGGCCAGCTGCTTTCCATTCCATGACCCTGCCCTCCGGTGGCCTGTTTGTTCAGTCCCTCCACCCTGCCGGCCCACACCCCACATCCTCCCTCCAGGCTGATGGTGCTCCTGCCCCCTGGTGGTCAGAGCAGGATTCATAGGATGAGGACCTGCGAACATCCAGGTGCTTTCCCAGTAGCCGGGGAAAGCGTGGGGCCTGGTTTTTATCATTCCTGACAGCACCCTAGCAATGGCTGGGTCCTTCTCCCGCCCCCGCACCCCGATGTTAAACCTTCACCTCTCTCAGTGCCACAAACACAAGCCAGCAGAGGACACACTTTTCCCCATTGTCCAGAAATGGGTTTTATTTATTCTCAGCCAAGAGACAGTAAGACTGGTAGCAGTCAGAGAACCACGCAGCTGCCAATACAGCACCCCTGCGCAGGAGGAGGGAGGGGTGGGATGGCAGCAGAGGGGGCCGGCTGTCACAGGCTGGGTGGGCATGACAGGGAAGCTCATCGGAGGTGGCACGCTTTGGAGGAGGAGGTCAGGGTGACTGTGTTCCCTTATAGTTGGGTCACAAGACTCCTCAAGGACAGCACGGTAATTCCCAGCACTAGAGGTGAGACTGTGGCAGCCATATCTGTGTGCATGTATATATATATATGTATAATATATGGTTATTTATAGTTATTTATAGAACGGAGCAGGAGAAATACCACAGAGGGGCACAAGTTTCACCAACGTCACGCTGGGTGTGTCAGCTCACCACTACAACAGACTAAGTCACAGATGAAGGGGGAGGCTTTGGGGCTGGGGAGCCACTGTCAAGTCACAGAACAGCCGTCCAGGAAGGCTTGGAAAGAGAAGTCTCCGAGGAATAGAGGGATCTGGTTAGAGGTCGAAGGGGGGCCTGGGGCTCTCAGGACGGGATGGACTTGCCTGACCCGATCGGCTGGCAGTTGGAGAGGAAACAGAACAGGAGAGAGGAGGGAGAGAGCTGGTAAGGCAAGGGCAGCTGAGCCCGCAGGCGTGTGAGGGGAGGGCAGGGGAAGAAGATGCAGGCGAAGGTGTGGCAAGGATTCTGGAAGAGAGGGGAGAAACAAGAAAGGGAAGGTGGAGGGAGGAGCTGGAGATGGGCAGGGCCAGAGCTTTG